GGCTACAATTAATTTACTATGTAAAGATTGTTAATGTAATGACAGTAAATATTTTTATTTAAATAAAGTCTCACATTCAATGCTTGTTCGCGATAAAAAAAAAAAAATAAAATATGGTAAAACTTTATAATTAGAAACTAAATAATTTTCAAATATGTTATCAGAACTATTGTTAAATTCATTATTAATTTCAGATTCAGATTTGTCATTTTCAGCATTAGTATTATTCAATATTAAATTTTGTTAATTATTGCTTAAAGTCATAATTTGATTTAGCAAAATATTTTTAGTTTTTTGTCAAATAGTAAATTCATGATCTGTCAAGTTTTTAGTTTTAGTTTTTTGATATTTATGCAAAAACTTTGTTCATGAATCAATAAGTAATCCATTGCATTTATTACAGTTGCAAATAGCCTTTGTTTTTTTAGGTTTTTTTTTTAAACTTTTACTAAATAAAACTGAGACTAAATATTTTCTTGTTATTTCAATTTACAAATATTAAATATAAAGTGACAAAAGTTATCATTTAACTCTGAATTAACAAATGTTGATGAATCTTAATATAATACACAAATTTTAATATAATACAACAAATTTTTATTTAATAAGATTAAATAATGAATATAGTATGATAAATTTAAATATAATAATATCAAATGATGAATTTTTAATATAAAAATACCAAATAAAAAATTATAATAATACAAAATAATACAAAGAATAATATAATAAATGTTGAATTACGTAATTAAATTTAATGTTATAAGTTATTATTGACAACAAGTTATTCAAATTATACATAATATAAAAATACAAAAAGCTTTATAATAAATATTTTTTAAAAATATGTACTGCATGTATCTTATAAGTTCTTATTAAGAAACTATTTTTTAGTAGAAATAAATTTTTTTGCTAAGCATTTGTAAATCATTTTGAATAATTATTGCTTGATTGTTTTACTGTCAAGTAATTTTACATCGATTTATCAAATACTAACAGACAAGGAGTAAATAAATTCATGATATTTTATAATTCCTAGTAATTTTGTGCATGGTCAAATAGCATTGAAAGATAATAAATACTTTAATTTATTTCTTATTAAAATGGATTTTAGTAATCTGGTCTTATACTAGCTTAAGAAAAACTAGTCTAATGTTAATCTTTATCGAGACATTAAAAAAAATTAATCTATGATAACCTACTATCGTATATGCTATTGTATTTTATACTTCTAATATTGTTTCAGGGATAATCGAAATAATATACTTTTCAAAATATTTGCATGGTAAACCTTTGAGCACAAAAAACGTTATGACTTTGTTTGCCTCACAAAGTCAATGGCGCCATGCATAAATTTCTTGTTAACGTCTGACACAATCTAAATGCGTCACACAGTTCCCCCGGTTCTGTCGATTAAGGAATACACGAAGCACGAATGTAAAGGAATAATGTTATCCGCTTTGCCCGAAATGATATTGTTCTGGTATTCGCATGTATCCCTATAATATGTGATACTTGGAAGAGTAACAAACAGACATTCCAGGACGTAAATTAATTACTTTGCCTATTAATAGATATACTCATTGTGTAGAGCATTAAATGAAATGTTACATCAGTACAAAAGAATGATATTGTCTTTGTCAGTTTCTGAATGGCATTGTGACAGCTCTGAAAGTATAAATACTATTTCGTCAAACATCCTTCGTGAAAAAGGTATTCATTGATTCTCTTCCTCCCGAGAAAAAAACAAAATGAAACCATTTGCGTTGATATATGCGATACTCTTTATTGCTCATTTAATTGATGCATTTCCGAACGGGAAGTAAGTAGACCTTTCCAGCAGACTTTTTTTCAACAATATTTCTTATATTTAATTTAAATGTATCTACACACATAGCTTAGATTTTTCGAAAAGAGACAACAATACGATAGTCCCATATTATTATAATCAAACTATTGATCATTATGACAAGAAATCAGGAACATTCAAACAAAAATATTTTGTCAATTCCGCCTTTTATAAACCCGGTGGACCAATATTTAGTAAGAATTTTTACGATAAATTCATGTAACAAAAATCTACTGCCATAACTCACATTATTTTCAACAATCGATAATAGTCACCACCGCAGGAGAAACTGCAATTTCCGTGAATCAAGTTAAGCTATCTGGGATCAGTTATATGGCTTCTCTTTTCAATGGTCTCGTAATTTCAGTTGAGCACCGTTTTTACGGTGAAAGTTATCCCCCAGTACCCGACCTTCATACCAAGAACCTAAAAACTCATACAGTTGAACAAGCCCTGGCAGATTTCGCAACATTCATCTCTAATCCTCCAGATGTACCGGTGAAAATTCCGAAAGACTCGAAATGGATCTTTGTGGGTGGATCATACGCTGGTAGTATAGCAACATGGATGCGAAAGAAATATCCCAAATTAGTATTCGCCGCTTGGGCCTCATCCGCCCCGTTATTAGCCAAACTTGATTTCTTTGAATATGATCTAGAAGTTGGTCATGCTCTACCATGTCATGACGATGTGGCCGGTGCCATAAAATATGTCGATAGCATCCTACTTTCCGGTAATAAAACTGCCATCAAAGCTCTCAAGGTACAATATGGACTTGGCGTATTGGAACAGGATCGAGATTTCGCAACGGCAATAAGTTTTCCAGTGGCAATTATGGTTCAAAGCTATTTCCCACCGTTATCACCTAATGATATTGATACCATACCCACTTTTTGTGGCGCATTTGCCAAATCACCTAATAAGTCTCCCGCTACCTTGAATGCTATATATGTCCAAACTTTCAAGTTCTTTTTGAATAGTTCTAAGCTTACTACCGATGAGGCAATTACAAGATTCTTCGCTACCTCCGCCATTAGCTTAGCCGTACCCAATGATGAAGTCACCTACTACTATCAGGTTCGTATATGCGCTGTAATAATCACATGCTTTTATTATTCCAACACTTACCTTCTTCCTTAATAGTCTTGCACACAATTCGGATGGTCTACAACTGCGCCAAGACCGCCACATCAAAGTCTCCGTCCTCAAATTGTAAACGTCGCCGGCTTCCAAGCTCTATGCAATTTTCTATTTCCCGGAATCCCATCACTACAAGTAAAAAAGACAAACCATGAGCTCGGTGGTAACAAAGGTACATTTTCGCGTACAGTATTTACTACCGGTGGACATGATCCGTGGACACCGTTGACCATTAGTGGTTCCGATAAACATACCATTTCAAAGAATTCAGTGTTTGTGATTATAAATGGGTCTCATACCAATGATTTGAGATATCCTAGTTCGGTGGATAGTGCTTCATTGACAGCAGCCAGGAAATTTGTGAAAGATAATTTATCAGAGTGGTTGAAAAAGTACTAGGGAGATATGCTGCAAATGGTTGCGGGCCGAGATCTCGCTTGCAAAGGCAAAACGCGAATTAAGCAGGCATACCAGTATAGTCTACTCGGATGTATTACTATTTCTCTTTAATTTTGTATATTTATGTTTAATCAAAATTTAATCAGATTTGTGAATATGATTCGTTTATTTAATCTTCTTTTTTTTTTTCAAGAGAAAAAAAAATTAATAAACAATAATAATAATGACAATAATAAAAACACTAAAGTAGAATTTTCAAAGAACTCTACTGCATTTAACATTGTAAATTATTCGAGTGATAACTATTTCTCATGGATTATTCGTGACCAACCCAAATCCAGGAATTTCCACATCCTGCACCGACTCCCTTTACAACAAAATGTTCGTTTAACCCTTTAACACGAATTGGATTCCATTGATCGAGATTATCTCCCGTACCGCAATTCCCGTGTTCATTCCAACCCCAAGCGTAACATTCGCCTTTTGTCGTTACAATCAGAAAATGTTCTGATCCACTAACAAAACTTTTGACTTCTGAGCTTTCCGGAATGGAAGGAAGAGGTTGTGGAAGAAAACGTAGGAGAATTGGTTCGTGAACCCACCCATCCTCACTTGCGGCAATTGGCTCACTATCTACAAATGTCATTCCCAATTGTCCATGATCATTACGGCCCCAGACAAACAGCTTATTATCTTTGCAAAGTGCCATGGTGGTATTCCATCCACAAGATATTCTGTCAACCTTCCCGGGAAGGTTAAGAACTTTTCTTGGAATCTCGCAACTTTGGATTCTCAAAGGTGACGCACGTCCAAGTTGACCATACTTGTTGAGACCGAAGGTGTACAGTTCTCCCTTTTGAGTTAAGACGATGGTGTGATGCTGTCCGCATGCAACATCCTTGATCCTTTCATCCATCTCAATATTTATTACAACGGGCTCAAAGAAACAATTATCATCTTTCTTTCTCTTTCTAATCAAACCACCGCCATCTTTATCATCCTCCTCGTCTTCCAGTTTCTTTCTAACAAGTCCCAACTGGCCAAACTTGTTATTCCCCCATCCATAACAGATTCCATCGTTGGTCAGCCCTAAGCAATGACGTAGCCCACAAGAAACTTTTTTGAGATTTTTCAAACCCGAAATCCTTAAAACTTGATTGTTCGTCGTTACAACATTTTTGCCGCATCCCAATTCGCCAAAAGCTCCTTTGCCAAATACATAA